GTGGACTCACCCCCTTCAAACAGCTCTCGAAAAGATCGAAAGGTGAAAGAAACAAAACCGCTGTAGCCTCCCATTTCCAGAAAAAATTAGATTAGATTAGATTAGATTAGAGTTGTGAAAAAACACTTAGCATACGAGACGTGACAATCCAGAATATTGGGGTCATGAGAACAAGACTAGAAGATATTTTACTATTAAAAGAAATATTCCTTGACGAAATATACCATTGGGGGTCTGGAGGAGATAAGATTTTGAGCATTAAACACTTTATTTCCTGCGTTCTGGTGACAGTTTTGCACCAATTTATGGTGGAAATGTCTTTATTTATACAAAGTGAACAAAGTTCAGGTGGCAGGTGTCAATTCAGAATATAATAATATAATGCAGTAATGTTTTTTTTTCTTTTACGTAAGTAATTGTTTTTTGGACTATGCAGTTCTGTTTTTTTTTTGCGTTGCATGTTTTCTTATTGTGCCAAAAAAAAGGCAAATATTTTTTGACAAATAGCTTAATTTTGTGCTCAAAGTTGCAAAAATTGCTTAGTTGTTAAAATGGGGTGGTGACGTATGACTATAGTAATTCCATAAGTCATACGTCATTCTCCAAGCTTGCACAGGAGCACTGTCACGCCTCGTTAAGTCAGAGCATGAAACCGATAAACATCTTTCTGAGCTAACTAACCAATTTATCATGTAATTTACTTAGAACTTATAGTATGTCTCTCTGCGTCTGATTGTTGGTTTGTCTTTCTAGTTTAGTTAGCTAACGTTAAGTTAACTAAGTTAGCCAGGTGTAGTTAGCTAGCATAGGTATTGCAAATCGTTAGTGAACACTCCAGCCGATCAGTTTTTGGTTGTCATGGTAATGTATTACGTCCGACTATTAACCACACCCCCCATTCTCTGTTTGAGAAAGAACGTTCACCAAAAACGGCAGTTAAAACTGGCTGGAGGGGGCTTGAAGCTCAGTAGCAGTAATAAAAATGAACATGGCCTATGTGCAGTTCTATCACCAAAACTCATACATTACAGAATATTATGAACAGCAAGGACACAAAAAGTGATCCACATCATCTCAAGCACACTTATCTTCCAAAACAAAAAATTGTCAAGGTTATGTAACCTGTATCAGCTTAAATGCAAGAGCAAGCATCCTGGAACTGCTACTTCTACCACTGTACACACACACACACACACACACACACACACACACACACACACACAGTATCCTGCATTCATTGATCCACCACATTAACGTTATTTAAATTAAATAATAATAGATGCAATTCAATATACCAACAATGCTGTTACAGTTCCAGTAATGATAACGTATATGCTGCTTTCACTCACCAGGTAACGTTAAGATAACATTGGCCTCATCTGGCTCGTTTTCTGTAGTTTCATTAACTTTAATGTTTGTGTCTTCTGCTGTAGCTGCGGTGTCACCCCGAGCGGCATGAGATTCAGCTGCAGTCTTACCAAAACACTGAAGGAGTGTAGTTTGAGTTTGCTTGCGTTTCACATCTTCTTTAGTGATTCACATTAGTTGATTTCATACTTGCGCCGAGTGACCGCCGCGGAGCTGCGTTGTTGTTTGGTAGTCAGATCCCGGTCACAGGCCACAGCCACTGACGTAATTCCTACAAAGCTCATCAGCTCATCACCTGTTTTCCATTTTTGTGTATGGTTGTTGTTTTTAAATCAGATAGGATGCCTTTTGCGTGAGAGATTTGCCCTCTGCTGTGATCACATGTCTCAGATATGTCACTTGTGTTTAAGCAAATAAACATTTAGAAAGACTAGCCTTGTGACTGTTGTAGGGACAAAATATCATCACAATGGTGTCAAAGTTGCATGCTTCTTTTGATGGACTACAGATCATTAGGTCATCAATGTTTTCATGCAACCCACAGTGGAAATATAAAAATCAACAAATCATCAAAAATCTTTCTTTGGGTGAACTATCAGATGTGTGGCATCTTTTATCAGGCCATTGTCATACTTATGAACTGCCCCTCTTGAATTTGGCACCTCAAACAGGTCAGCCGTGTTCACAGTGGGGTGTGAAGAATGTATGCCAGTAACTACTTCAACATTCTTTTATCCGGACCAGTGCATGTGAATACTCTTTTGTGTACATTACCATCTTTACACTCATCTATTGTCACCACACATGGCTCTGACTTCTTGAAATACTTCCATTTCAATTCAGCAGGCTTAGCCAGTGTGATGTGTGGACTCACCCCTTCAAACAGTTCTGATCGAAAAGCGAAAGAGAAACAAAACCGCTGCAGCCTCCCTTTTCCAGAAAACACCCCTCACTCATAAGGCTGTTTTTTTCAGACAGTATGCCATTACTGTCCCCCTCTTCTTCTCTTCCTGTTGTTTTGTGTTGGTCACCAAGGAGCAGCGAGCAGCCTACACTCTTGAAGAGTCCTCAGCACGTTGTAGTGACTCTGATTTTCCATGGGCCTCAGCTGGTTGATTTTGGATGTGAATGGAGGGTCCAGAATCAGAATCAGAATCAGAACGAGCTTTATTGCCAAGTAGTGTTTTACACATATGAGGAATTTGCTGTGGTGATAAGGTCTCCATGTCTCCAGTGAGGTGTTAAAAATGTCTGTGAACACCAGAGACAGCTGATCAGCACAGTGCTTCAGGGTGGGTCAAAAGTCGCCGGATGAGAAGGCACCTTTCACCTGTCAATGCAATGTCACATGCACATGTGGAAAAGCATCAATGGAAGTCCTGTTTCATCACAACATTTTGCCTTTACATGTTTCACCTCTCTGTTAGAAGGCCTTTGACCAATGACCTGGCTTCCTGTTTAGCAGAAGGAAAACTTAATTTACTGATCACAACACTAACCACTACTACACAGTGCTGTCCTTTTTCTTTTTTTGTTAATGGTTCTTGGTTTTCCCCTCGACCCGGTACTTAGGATAAGCGGTTGACGATGTATGGGTGGATGGATGGTTCTTGGCAAGGGGTGTGCGGGGGGTATGGGGGGTGCTGCAGCACACCCTATTGACAGGGAGGAACACAGTACGCAAACTACATGTGCAGACTACATAATGGGCACCATTGTTACTATATGACAACATAAAATACAGCAGGTTAGTGCTGAATGCAGAGGATGCTCTGGTTTGATATTATAGCCTAATAATTTGACATCAGAAGCTGCACTTTTGTCACGATTATAGGTGCTACATTGGTGTGATGTGTGGAACTGCTCTGACAATATCTGAATAACCATGTATGCATAAATCATCCACCCGCACTCAACCCAACTAATTATTTTCTCAGATTTATCCCCCGTCTACCAGCCCTTTTCATTTTCCAGGTGATTTCTTTATCGTGCTGATGTACAAGTGTTTTCTTTGACGGTTTACTTTCATGATTAGAAAGGCGGCTATCAGTCATTTTAAACATTTCTAGGCACTGCAAAGTAAGCAAACAACCTGAGCCATTTATGTAGCAAAATGTAAAACTGTAGTTATAACCTTGAAATGACATAGGAAACTGCAAAGTTTCTAAAATAATTTAGCTCAGGATCGATCAGGAGGACGGCTGCTGTTCTCCAAACAGTTTCACTGTATTAACCTAAGCTGTGTGTGAGACCTTTTGGATGTGTAAAAGAACACAGAACATTAATTAACATAAGATTCTGACTGATCCTGTTGGCGTGTCGATTTAAATATTATGCTGCTGTGCCCCGTGCGTAAATGTGCACAGCGTCTCTTTTAATGGGGAGACTCTTCACCTTATTTCACCGAAGTCACAAAGTCACAAAACGTTTTGCTGCGGTCCTCTCAGTTATCGCACGCACAAGGTTTTCATGTGCTTATGGTCACATTCATTTTGCGCTGAGTTATGATTTTTTTACATTACATTACATTACAACATTACAAACATTCTTGAAGAGATGGATGCACAGGGCTGGGTTTTTTCCCAGCAGGAAATGAAGAAGATTAAATTAGCTCCACCGCGTCCAGCTACAACTAGAGTTGGGAAATCTTCTCTTTTTTCATATTGGCTATCTGATCACTATTTGTATAGTCTTTTCGACCACTCAAAGCACTTTTACACTACATCCACCCGTCATACACATTCATACACTGAGCCTAAGTGCTCAAACAGAAACTAACATTCACACAATGGCGGAACAGCCGCCAGGGGCAATTTGGGGTTCAGTATCTTGCCCCTTAGTCTTAGCGTCAAATTGAAACGTGACCTTATGTATTTTGGCCTGTTCTTATCTTTAATATCACAATCCAAATCATATTCATAACTCAACGACTATGTAAGATGTCAGATGTGAGATGTCAGATCCACAGAAAGAGAAGGCAGACAAACTGGTTAGTAATTAGGATTTAAAGTTCGATTCTGCTGATTAACGGGGCTCAGCAGGCGCTAACATTAAGATAGCTTTCCTTAATAGCTCGACTCCTTACATGCTTGCTTATAACTTATTTGAAGTTGGGTCTCAGACATTGACAGGGTTGTGTTAAGAACACAGATAGACTAGCTTCTCAGAGTTAACTTGAAGGCTTTAGTTTTTCTTTTAACTTGTTGACTTGTTTTCCTTTGTTTAAAAGCACTTTGTTACCTGTAATGAAAAAGGCTATACAAATAAAGCTATAATTGTTATTATTAGGACAAAAAGGTTTAATCTATGACAACGCATTGTATTTTTAAGGTTTATCATGTTTGTTTTTAGTGTAAAATCTTAATCTGAAAGCATTACTAGTTACTACAGGTGGTGAAAAGGAAATTTTTAAGTACTGAAATGTTATACTTAAGAACAGAACTTGAGTAAATGTACTTTGCTCAGACACGTGACATTTCTGATGTTTTGTGAAACAGGTGATAGGTGAGATGTTGGGCGTGTCAATGGGCAGGTGAGCTTGAGTTGGAGGTAGACAGAGAGGGAGGGAGGGAGAGGGAGAGAGGGAGAGAGAGAGAGGGAGGGAGGGAGGGAGAGGGAGAGAGAGAGAGGGAGTGAGGGAGAGAGAAGAAGGGTATTAAAGCAGGTGCATTTCTGATAATATGGACTTGCAGCGATGGCTTTCTACAAAGTGATCTGTGTGGCAACTCTGCTGACTCTCCTGACACAAGGTAAGAACCCTCCTCACTGTGCACAGAGGATCAAGAATCTTTTAATTAAGTAACAGAAGTTACTTAATTAAAATAAATCAGTATTACATGCAAATGCAAATCCTGCGTTCAGATTAAACTTTACAAAATTGGAGCAATAAAATGTACTAAACCAAAGTGCTCAGTGGATCCTGTCACACTTAATCAAAATATATATCAATTCTATTTATAAAAAGGAGAAGGAAAAATAAAGTATGAAAAGTCCAGGTTTAAAAGTCATTATGTAATCTGTTAAGTTTATGGAATATTTAATGAAATTAAATGGCAATACTACCCAAATGTATTTTTGAAAAGACATTGATCTGCATGTGAGCAGTAATTATTGAAATCAGATAAATGTAATAGAATAAAAATAGTTTTTCACTGAACTCATGGCTTTGTTTAGACTGATTTAAAAGTTATCCTGGATGCATAAAGTGAAATAACACACATTAATTTCCAAGGACTGCTTCACTGTAATAACTGTCTATTCTATTCTGTTCTATCAGATAATTATAAAAAGAATTCAGGAAGCAGCTGCGTGATGTAAATGCTATTTTTCCTGACAGTCAGTATTTGCATTCATTCTTGGAGAAATAGGACCTTTCCTTTTTGCATATACCTTTGTGATTAATAAAGACTTTGATACACTCTAATTGTGGATGTTAGCTTCCTTCTGAAGCAGCTGTGAGATGGACTCTATTAAAGGTGCTGAAGTTCACATTTGTGTGGATTTATGGTGAGATTTATTTCTGACTACAAGTCTTTTCAGTTTCGATTTGCCAACTCTGATGAAGAAAAGCGCGCTTTTCTCATCCCAAAAAGGTTCTGTCAGACGATCCAAAAGGGATCAGAAGAGCAAAAACTCAGGCTCATGCACAGCAGAGGACAGGGCAGGAAGGTTTTGTTAAAATATTGATTGTACTCTCATAGATTGTGATTTTATTTATATTATATATCTATTATATTTATATATTACACCTTTTGTCTATAAATATTACTAAGTTATTCTGCAAAAAGAAATAATATATGTGGGAGAAATTTTGGATGTGCACAATGTTTTAGACATGAGAAGAAATATTGATTAATCATTGGTGCCACATGCACATTTAAAAAGGTTACTTCAGTCATGCCTATATGTGTGCTGACTCAGCAGGGATGAAATTAAATGAGAAAAGTTGATCTACAGGAGAAAAATATCTGACAGCAGTTCAAATGCCTGAGAGCCTTACTGCATGTTATTACTCTATATGTTTTACATTTTGAATTGTGGTCTGTAACTGGATATTTAATAAATAAAATTTAACTCAATGACTCATAGGAGGAAAAAAGACTAAAACTACACTGTACAAATGTTGCTGTAAATTTTACAATAACTTACTGGCAGCTGTTATTTACAGTATCATTACTGTAAATTACATTACAGTATCATTACTGTAATTCCATTCACAGTATCTTTACTGTAGTTTTATTTACACTATAGTTACTGTATTTTCATTCACAGTATTATTACTGTATTTTCGTTTACAGTATAATTACTGTATTTTTATTCACGGTATTATTATTGTATTTTCATTTATTTACAGTATTATTACCATATTGTCATTTACAGTACTTTCATTTACTGTATGTTTTCAATGACTTTTTCTTCACTTCCATTAAAAAAAAATCCACATTTAAAAAACATTTTTTTAACTTACAGTCCAATTTCAGGACAGCAATGCAAACCACATATTTCACCCAAAATGATTACAACATGAACATTTGTCCTTACAATATGCTTTTTAATTTTAAAATATTTACTTATTCAAAGTACAAAGAGACACCTGTGTTCATGTAAAGATTGATGGCAGGATAAAGACCACAGAAGGTACCTGCAGGATGGTACAGCAAGCACAGTTCAATTAGGTGAGCTGAGATTGAAAGGGATTTGGTTTATGACCCAATGCCTGCAAAACATAACATTTTCTAGAAATCAATCCAATAGTTTTTGAGACATGTCATGTCATTTCAGACACCAAAGTCCGTTGGATTCATTCACTTGGGATTCTTGTCTGAAGAAAAAATCTTACAACATTCCATATTGTGATATTAGTTATTTTACGCTATACACAAAAATCGTCTGATTCAAAAACGTGTTGAATCTTCTTTCCTTCTGGTGTTAACATCCATCCCAGTCAGTGTGTTCAAGTGATCACAGAAATCTTTTCATGTGAAGAAATAGCCACTGTTCTTTGAGTTTATCATTGCTGTGTGGGGGTCGGTGATGGTATAGCTCTTATAAGCACATGTGACAGCAAGCAACAGTGGCTTCTAGTAGGGTTCAAGCGTTAATCTCGGATCGAGTCCATAATCGTTCTCACAATGGATAAATGCTCCTGCTTCATGGTTCACTGGTCTTGTGCGACACATTGTCTAAAATTCAGTGGCATTTTCTCCCACCAGTCTTCATACGATCTCACCCAGTCAGAGATGTAAATAGTGACATGGCTTCAGAGCCCTGAAGATGTCAGCTGGAGAATTGCCAAGCTGGTAAGATGTATGGTCTTCATGGCCTGTGTGAAGAATTAAAACATCGTTATTGTATAATTACATTTGTTGTTCAGGCATTTTAAGGAGTGTATAAACCTGAATACCTTGCTATACAAACATTTTATTTCTGATACAGTCCTATCAGATTTGCTGCAGTGCAGGGTATATACAGGAATACGGAAGTAAAATTCAATACCTTTTAAGACCTTTTTCAGGACCTCTACAACATATTTTAAGACTGACGCGCCACTTTAAGCTGTAACTGGTCATGTCAGCAACACACCTTTAAAAGGGAAATTGTGGAGTTTTTAAAAGGAATTTAACGTATCTGTCTCTGTCACAGAGCGACTGGAGCACCGGCATATCTCTCGTTGCTCCGGTGACGAGTCCGACTATGTTTTGAACAATTAGCGGTGGGGTGGGGGTTACGGTAGGTTGTTGTCTTAAAAGTTGCACGCACACTGCTCAGAAATTTTTTTTCTTATCTGTTTGTAAAGGCACATGTGAGAACCCGGTGTGGGCGGAGATAATGAGCAGAGTGCAGCGCATACAGACAAGAAAGCGTCACACACCTTTTCTGTCTGATTAAATTGCACACTTGTGATTATATAATTGCAAGTGACGACATCGCGATTGTGATTGCAATTAGATTAATCGCGCAGCCCTAATATTATTTACATGATGTTACTATATTCATTATAATTTCATATAAAAGTATATTGTATATAGCTATAGCTTACCACTATTATAATATTATTCCAGTTACAGCTGTTTCATTTTGGGGTTGTTGTTTGTGCAAGAAAAATGCTCTAAAAAGTCTCTAACTTTTATTTTAAGCAGGCTACTAAGTCATCAGTAATCATGCCTGTTTATGCAGAACAATGAGTTCAACATTTGAAAAGTTTGCTGTAGCCCATCAAACCTTTTTTAAATGTCCCGCTCCATCCAGATCTGTTCACCATCCATATGGTAGTTATCATGTTGGATATGATGTGAATATTAGTGAGAATGACTGTGGTGCAGTTGAAACAAAAAAATGTAGTTTAAAAGTAAGTTTAATATTAGCTGCATATGGTCATGTGTTTGGACATAATTTCATTAAATACGAAATGAGTGAGATGTTATTAATGTAAAATAGACCTCTAAAAACCTTACTGTCAATTTGAACCTATACACAGGGCCCAGGAGTCCCGCACACCACCGACTGAGCTAAACGTGCGCTCGAGTATCCAAGCATTTCAAATAATTTTACTATGTTCTGGCCCGATTTTTTATGATGAGTTCTCCAGCTGGCTGCCCTCAAGCGATGACAACATTCCGTCTCATCCGCTTCCATTATAAACTCAGAAAAAGCCTGAATTCTTTACCAGAGTAAAATCGCGATAGTGGAAAAAGTATAAAAGATATCAAAAAGTTGAATACAAGTTTAATAGCTTAAAGATTTCTCAACATTTTAAAGTTGAAATGACAAACATAGCTTAAAGTATGCAGAAGTAGGCTTTGAAAGCTGAAGGAGCTTAAAAAGGATTTGAATAGTTCCCCATCTGCTCCCCATTATAAACTCAAAAAAAAGCCTGAAGAGTTCATCAAACCAAAACAGCTGTAGTGAAAAAAGTATAAAAGATATGAAAAAGTTGAATACAACTTTAATAGCTTAAAGATTTGTGAACATTTGAACAAAGTTGAAATGAGAGAAATAGCTGAAAGTATGCAGAAGTAGTAGGCTTTGAAAGCTGAAGCAGCTGAAATATGATTCTCCACTGACTTACATTGTAAGATTAATAGCTTAAAAAGTATAAAAGTTACAAAATAGTTGAATATTTCCCATAATGTCCTTAAAGAGCTCAATATTATGATAGTTGAATGGTTTTTGTAGCACAAAGTATGCTGAAGTTATCAAAGGCCAAAAAAACGTACAGAAGAATAATAATAAAGCTTTGGATAATAAATCATTATTGTTGTATTATTTGTATTTATTTTTCAAGCCATGAATCTAGTTTAGTACAAGTTAACTAGTAAAGTTGAATTGTGCTTGAATTGAAAATTAAAGGCGCTGAATTTATTTTAACACAGACCTATAATTCTGCAACTTAAAGCCACCTTAAAAATTAACTTTCTTATTCTTTTCAGTCTTTCCTTGTAGTAAGAGTTTCTTGTAAGCATGCAATTAAAGTAATATGTGTGGATTTAATTTAAGCCAATTATGTGAACTATAGCTAAGACATATCAGTAAATATAAATACACAATTACTGTATCATAAAGATTTTGTTTGTTTTATGTTTTCAGAGTCTCACTCACAAGTAAGTGGTAAGTCAAAGTTTCTACGGTCACTTTTTTACTTCCGGTCTGTCTGTCTGTCTGTCACTGGGACATTTTTTGTGGACATGTTTTTGGGACGTAAACATGTTGTTAATACCTTCTTTACTGTCTTTTATCTAATTATTTCCCCACTTCGTCTCTCTCTCTCTCCTCAGTCTGTGGTCGACCTACACTCAACACCAAGATTGTTGGAGGACAGGTGGCCACTCCAGGCAGCTGGCCCTGGCAGGCCAGTCTACGAACCTCTGGTGCCCACTTCTGTGCAGGAACCCTCATTAACAATCAATGGGTGATGACTGCTGCTCAGTGCTGCGCAAGGTAAGCAGAGGGTGGTGACAAATAAACCACATGCCATACAGTGGCGTAAACAGGCAGTGGTTCCTAAATTGGGGGCAGGAATCTCTCCAAGCGGTTGCAAGATAAATCTGAGAGGTCTTGATAGGACTGAGAGGACAGATAAAAATATTATTCTGCTACTGAAATTTGACCGATATCACCATCCAAGGAGAAAATGTGTGTTGTTTAAACCTTTGATGATGTGTATCAGCAGACAATGATTTATTTTGAGTGGTCATTAGCCAAAAAGGATGGGTACTGCTTCTCTAAGAGGCAGGGAAAGAAAATTAAAGAGGATTATTCTAGAAAGAGTTTAGGATGCATTTTAGGGTTAATTTTTGAGAGGTCATATTATGCTTTTTGGCCTTTTCCCTCTCCTTTATTTAGTTATAAATCTTTTTTTGTGCATGTAATAGGTTTGCAAAGTGAAAAAGCCCAAAGCCCACCCCAAAGGGAGTTCCCATCTCCCACAGAAAACTCCGCTCTGAAATCCTGAAAACAGCTCGTTTATAGTCCAGCTGTTTCCCTTTCCCCTAATGCAATCTCTAAACCCACTGGCTATCGTCTGACAGCTATTTAACTTTTATTAATTTTGTAAACTGGTTACTGTGAAACAATCCGGTCATAGACGTCTCCCGCTTGATTCTCGCGTCACATGTTGCTAATCGAACTGTCAACATGGGGTTCATCTCAAGTCTCTTATTTGTTGTTTCCTTGCTTAAACCGGAAACTGTTCTTGTTCGACATCTTGCAGACCGTCCCAAAGCTCTTATTTGTGCTCTGAGGAGCAAGAAGCCATCTCTGAGGAGCTATGAGTGAAGATACACGAGTGCCGCTTTGGTGGAAGTCTTTGACAGAAGACACGCCCATTTTATTTATTTAACACAGGGAAAGAAAGCCTGCACATACGATATCACGACTGCATCTGATGAAAGCAGAATAACATCAGGAAAGGACATCACATTTCTGTAAAAGCAAATTTCCTCGTTCCTTCTCTCCTGGCATGATTTCCTTTCAAGTGAGGGAAACATGGATGCAATTAAGAGAATTGAATCAGAATCAGTTTTATTTGCCAGGTATGTGTACACATATGAGGAATTTGACTCAGGATTGTACATTGCTCATGATGTGCTTACTCATACAATAATATAATTATAAAATAAGATACAACATCATAAAAATCATCAGTCAATGACCGATGGGTTCAGAGATTGCCCTTATGCAAACAAATTGTGTCCATTAATGAATCATGCCGTCCAGAGATATAAACATTTCTTGATTCCATGTGTCTTTGTCTCCCTTTGGAGTTTATAGAGTTTAAGCTTTTGGTCTGAGACACAGGGACAGACCTCATGTTTGGGCTGGTTTGTCGCTGCCATGTAAAAAGATGGTTTTGCTGCAAAGGAAAACTCCTGTTAATATTGCAGGTGTTTTTCAGTTTAGAGATGTTCATCCATTATATTCTGTTGATCTCCACACCAACAGATGCAAAGAACATGGACTACATGTGCAGTGCACATGTGAAGTATTAATTCATAATTAAAGGGAACAATTTATGTGATTAGGACTTGATGTCAGGAAAAAAAAGCATATTGAGCACATGAATGACTAAGATGAGGGAATTATTTATAATATTAGGATTCAAATTACTAACTTGTGGAAATGAAATCTCCCTGTTGCAACATCTATTAATCTCCATACAAACTAGATGTGGTTATAATATGGACTTACTGTTTGCTAAAGTGCTCTTGACCACAGTTTTGCTTTTCATGTTTTTGCACTGTTTTGTTTCTCTTCTGATTACCTCAGATCAGGCGTAAGCACAAGAACTCTGACTGTGTATCTGGGTCTCCAGAGTCTAAAGGGATCAAACCCCAATCAAGTGTCTCGGACAGTATCCCAGATCATCATTCATCCCAACTTTAACTCTGGAACTTTTAACAACGACATCTGCCTCCTGAAGCTCTCCTCACCGGTGACTTTCACCACCTACATTCAGCCCGTCTGTCTTGCAGCCACAGGCAGCACCTTCTACAAGGGGACTCTCTCCTGGTCCACCGGCTGGGGCAGTATTGCAACTGGAGGTGGGTCAGAAAGGACCTGGATTACATTTATTTTCAGAGACAAACTAATTACAATGGTGGCAATAACTATGTTTTCTAAGGATTCATCGAGTGATAAGCAGGTTTGAGCCCAAACGCACAACAGTGGAGACCTGACATCAGTTTGCAAGGTGTATTAGCAAAAAGCAGAATAATGTGACTTCCATGGAAGCATGATAGAAAATAAAGGTTATAATCTGTTACACAAAACTAAATTCAAATAAAACTGGTAAATGCAACCACACAGAGACAAGCAGAACCCTCAACATACCGCAATGACCGAAGAGGGACTGAAAACCATTTCTACAAGAGCAAACAAGCGTTGTGGGACACAACCAGGGGACACACATCAGGTATTCAGGACAGGGAAGACTCTCTCAAACACACACACACAGAGGCAGGGAGTAAATGTAAAATGCTTTGTACTTGTATAGCACCTTTCTAGTCTTTTCGACCACTCAAAGCACTTTTATAGTACATCTAACATTCACACTCACTCATACACTGGCCGCCAGGGAAAATTCAGTTCAGTATCTTGCCTAAGGACACTTCAACACGCAACCAGGGGGAGCCAGGGATTGAACCGCCGACCTTCCGATTAACAGCCAACCCGCTCTACCTCCTGAGCCACAGCCGCCCCGCTGGACAGATAATCTATCTATCTCTGGGAGATACACATGATACAGCTCAGTGGCCTGTACTTCGAGGCAAGCTAAGGTGGACAGGTTTTTAAAAGAGTATTTATGATGGATATCAGATGATTTTCAGGCTTTTTCTTGTAAATTTGTGATTATTTCCCCCCTGTAAATTTAACACTTTAACCTCAAAATATTCTTTTGGAAATCTTTCTCGGATTATTACCGCTCTCCCCTGGCTCCATTTTTTGGTTTAACGGACCTAATATGCAGTTGCACCTTTACATCTTAAATCCTATTATGAAACCTGACTTTTCCTGAGTTAAATCTGAGTAGGTTGAACTCTATGAAGGGTAGCAACAATTTGAAAAGATGTGAACATTTGTTTATTAACCTGAATTTGTGTCTCTTCAGTGTCCCTTCCTTTCCCACAAAACCTAATGGAGGTGCAGCTGCCGATTGTAGGAAACAGAGAGTGTACCTGTAACTACGGAGTGAGCTTGATCACAAACAACAAGATGTGCACTGGGTTCAGTGCTGGAGGAAAGGACGTCTGTCAGGTGATCATTTGTACGCCTGTGTTTGTGTCAAATTTGACCTTCTGCAAAGATTCTTTCTCCTAAATGTTTCTCTCCTTTAAGGGGGATGGAGGAGGTCCGCTGGTGAGCAAGCAGGGCGGTCGCTGGATCCAGTCGGGAATCGTGAGTTTTACCAGTAGTAAGGGCTGTGCCCAGCCTAATATCCCATCAGGCTACACCCGGGTGTCCCAGTATCAGTCCTGGATCAACAGCCAGATCACCAGCAACCAGCCAGGCTTCATCACCTTTAAATCCACTGGGACCGACGGTGACCTCAGCATAAGCTGTCCTGCCACGCCACCCCCAGCAGCCCAAGGTAAGTGCCTACCACGTCCAGACTTTGATTTTTAACTTTACATTTCGCCTTGGAAAGCTTATTAGATATTTTCTTCTTCTTCTAACAAACAGTTTCATATTCTGTTTCAGAATGTATTTGAATGGAGATGTGTTCATTTACTGTTTTACATAATGAAGTGCTTGTTTTCGTGGTCATAATGAGTTCAAGAAGAATTTTGAAAATACCTGCAAACTCCTTTTCTGTAAGTGGAAGATGATTTTCCTGTCTGTTAGCTGAGAGAGGACAGGGTTTAAAGTCACTTATCAAAAAGCTTTGTGTTTGAATGTGTTTAGTGATAAAAGTGATCACAAAAGTCCTCCCATGTAAATTAAGCATGACGCATTTTATATTTACAAATAAATTGGTGTTTCGAGCAAGTGAGTCTCACTTACAACTAGATGCTAAGTCAAAGTGCCACTGTCCATCTGTCATTTGGATGTTTTAAACATGTTGTTGGACGTGAACATTTGAAAATAGTTTCATTATTGTTAGTATTTGCTGTGAACCCCGTCTCTCTTGATCGTCTCTCTCCTCAGTTTGTGGTCAGCCAACACTCAACACCAGGATTGTTGGAGGACAGGTGGCCTCTGCAGGCAGCTGGCCCTGGCAGGCCAGTCTGCAAACCTCTGGCTCCCACTTCTGCGCAGGAACCCTCATTAACAATGACTGGGTGCTGACTGCTGCTCAATGCTGCTCAAGGTAAGCAGAGAGGGTAGGGCATCGACAAAAAACCACATGCCGTTCAGCCTGTCTAAGGTAGTGGTTCCCAACTTGGGGGCAGGAATCTCTCCAGGGGGTCGCAGGATAAATTGAAAAGGTCTTAAGAGGATTGACAGGACAGGACAGATGAAAAATATTATTACGCTACTGTGTTGTTTTAACATGTGATGATGTGTAGCAAGCAGAAAATGATTGTCGGAAGCTCCGTCTTAAACCAAACTCTTATCCAGTTTTAATCCACTCTTTTTCGTTACAATTTTTATATCCTTTTTATTTAACTTAAGTTCTTAACTTAAGTTTTACGTGTGTTAAGGATTTTAGTCATCCAACATGGATTTTAAGCTAGATGACCTTAAAAACGCGATCAACGCTACTGATTGCAACAAAGCTCCGGTGACTATGCAAGCTGAGATAACTCTGCCACATGAGGACTGCACACTCCTTAAGAAAGCGAACAAGAAGATTGCTGACCTTAAGGAGCCACCACGGCTGACATTTTAAAAAAAACTCCAGGACCTGATGCCGTCGCTCCCGTCCTCCATCACAAGAGTGATAGTCCATGTCGGAACAAATGACACAGCTCTTCAGCAGTCTGAGCTGACAAAATCAGATTTTAACCATTTTCTTAACTTTTTACAGCAGTGTGGAAAGTCCGTTTTTATCTCTGGTCCCATTCCCACAGTTGGTCGCGGTGCTGGCCGCTTCAGTAGACTCCTTGGCCTCCACGACTGGCTCCAGTCCGCCTGCAGGGCTCATCGTGTGTTATGTATATAACTTTAATATTTTCTGGCAAAGAATGTCTCTTTTTACAGATGGACTTCACCCAAACAAACGGGGCTCAGAAATGTTAGCTGCGCACATACAGCATGTGGTGCGGGTCCACACATGACTTACGTGAATGACTAATCATTCATGCAGCACACCTGGACACACCACCGCTCACTGAACAGATCTCTGCCTCACTGCCACAAACAACTGTCTCCACCTGCTGGCATGTAAAACGATCTGCTCCCAGCGCTGTTCCACAGACTTCTATTCCTGTCATCATCACGCATAGACCAGTAAACCGAAACGTGCACATCCCACACAGAAATATTAGTAATCTCTTAAGGATTAGGACAACTGCACCAACTCCAGCACCCAGAACAAACTCATTTAAAATGGCTCTCTTTAATGTGAGATCACTGTCAAGTAAGACTTTTATCTTAAATGATTTTATCTTGTCTGCAAATCTAGATTTTATGTTTTTAACTGAATCCTGGTTGCAGATGAATGACTATAGCCAGCTAGCTGAACTGTGTCCGCCTCAATATGATTGTTTTAGTCAACCGAGGGTCAGTGGTCGTGGTGGTGGGCTAGTGAGCGTGTATAGGAAAAATTTTAAATGTCATCAAGTACGCTGTGATGAATTTAACTCCTTTGAAGTTCTGATTCTTAAAGTTAGAGGGCTGCAACCTATCATATTCGTTATAATTAACTGCCTGGAGGATTTTTATCAGAACTTCCTGAATTTTTATCTACTCTGGTTTTAAATTATGACAGAATTGTTCTTTGTGGAGATTTTAATATTCATGTTGATGACCCCAACAATGTTAATGCAACTAACTTAAATTTAAACTTTAAATATGGCCACTTCTTTTAACTTCAAACAACATGTCAAAGGGCAAACACATAACCGTGGTCATACACTGGACTTGGTTTTTACCCTGGGTGTCAGCATTTCCTCTGTGGAATTAGTGGACATGACCATATCTGACCACAGATGTATTGTTTTTAGCTGCGATTCGCCTGTTACTCATGCCGCCTCACCAAGCTCCGTGTGTTGTCGCATCTTTAATGAACAAAGTGTTTCAAAGTTTTGCGCATTCTTTCAGAGCCAAAGCCAACACCTGTCTGATTCCAACACCAACAATCTGGTCGATCACTTCAATCATATCTGCTTGTCACTAAATATTATTGCTCCTCTAAAGGTTAGGCCTACGTCTAAAGCTAGTAAGCAACCCTGGATAAATGACAGCATTCGCAGCCTAAAAAGGGAATGCAGGAAAGCAGAGCGCAGATGGAAAAAATCCAATCTCCAAGTCCATTACCTCAGTCTGAAGGATTTATTAATTAACTACAATAACATGGTTAAGGATGCGAGAACACACTATTTTTCTGAACTCATTACTACACATAAACACAATCCCAGGTTTCTGTTTAAGACTGTGGATCAGCTGGTAAACCCAACCCCTCCTTGTGCCTCAGCTGGAAGTAATGATGACTGTGAATTGTTTTTATCTTATTTTACCAATAAGGTGGTGTCAATCAGAGCCTCTATTACCCCCGCGGCCTCTTACTCAGAGGTTCGTTACCAGCAACAAGAGAGTTTTAACCAGTTTTATCCCATCGACTTGTCTGAACTTTTAAAAACAGTATCACAAATGAGAGTGTCCTCCGGCCCACTTGATGTAATACCTACAAAATTTCTACTGAAAGTAATAGATTCTGTTGGGCCCCATTTGATCTCTGTTTTCAACAGCTCCCTATCTACTGGTTGTGTCCCTGATTATTTTAAAATGGCTTGCGTGAACCAACTTTTGAAGAAACCTGGTTTAGATCCCTCCCTCCCACATAATTGTAGACCAATTTCAAAACTGCCTTTTATTGCAAAGATTCTAGAAAGAATTGTGTCCAAACAGCTGCTCACTGTCCTGGAAAATAACAAATTATTTGAAAAGTTTCAGTCTGGTTTCAGGAAGTACCACAGCACTGAGACTGCCCTGCTTAAAGTCACCCATGACCTTTTAATATCTGCTGATGAAGGCATGTGCTCAGTCCTGGTACTCCTGGACCTTAGCGCTGCTTTTGACACCTTTGATCACAACATCATAGTACCTTACTACCCCACCAGAGCACTGCGCTCCCAGAATGCAGGGTTACTTGTGGTTCCTAGAGTCTCCAAAAGTAGACTAGGAGCCAGAGCGTTCAGCTATCAAGCTCCTCTCCTGTGGAACCAGGTTCCAGTTTGGGTTCAGGAGGCAGACACCATCTCCACATTTAAGAGTAGGCTTAAGACTTTCCTCTTTGATAAAGCTTATAGTTAGGGCTGGCTCAGGTGAGTCCTGAACCATCCCTTAGTTATGCTGCTATAGGCCTAGACTGCCGGGGAATTTCCTATGATGCACTGAGCTCCTCTCTCCTCTACTTTCTCTCCATCTGTATGCAACCTCATCCCATTATTGCATGTTACTAACACAACTTCTCCCCTTTCTGGTAGTCTTGTGCTTTCTCGTCCCTCTCCTCTCTCCTCTTATCACTTCCTGCAGGTGTTTCTGGCTCTGGAGCTGTGGAGTCTGGATCTGTGAATCACCTGTTGCCCCCGTGTTCCTGCTCGACACCCTCTGCTGCAACGACTATTGTTGCTAGTCTTATTGTTATTATTGTTATTATAATAATTAACATTAAGATTTTTATCATTAACACTACTATACATATCTGTACCATTTTTCATTTAGTCTATAGCAACATTACCTTTACTGTCTGTACATCTGTGTGTGTATATTGTGTAGGCTGCCTCCGTCCCCTCTCTCTCCTTCCATCCCTCTATTTTTCTCTCTGTTCCTCTCTCTCCCCTCTCTCTCCTTCCTCCCTTGCCCTCTCTCTCTAACTTGCCCTCTCTCTCTCTCTCTCCTTCACCCCCAACCGGTCGAGGCAGATGGCCGCCCACCCTGAGCCATGGTTCTGCTCGAGCTTTCTGCCTCTTAAAGGAAGTTTTTCCTTGCCTCTGTCGCCTAGTGCTTGCTCTTTAGTGGGAACTGTTGGGCTTCTGTAAATAACATCATAGAGTACGGTCTAGACCTGCTCTATGATGAAAAGCGCTGTGAGATAACTGTTGTTGTGATTTGAAGCTATATAAATAAAATTGAATTGAATTGAATTGAATCATGTTAGACAGAGTGAGGCACTGGGTGGGGATCTCTGGTACTGCTCTAGAATGGTTTTCATCCTACCTGTCAAATAGGAAGTTTTGCGTGTCTGTAAACAACTATGTCTCTTTGTTCTGTCCAGTTAAATATGGTGTACCTCAGGGGTCGGTCTTAGGACCCATTTTGTTTTCCTTGTGTCTGCTTCCCCTTGGACATATTATCCATATACAAAGTATTTCTTTTCATATTTATGCTGATGACACACAAATATACTTGCCCGTCAGATCCACAGATCCCTTGAATGCTGAGTTCACTTAACAACTGCCTTTGTGAAGTTAAACAATGGATGTCAAATAATTTCCTCCAGCTCAACTCAGACAAAACAGAAATCCTGGTCATCGGGTCTCAGCAGATGGCAAAACAAATCCTGCCATCTGCTGGATCCCTAGTAAATCATATTAAGCCTGTGGCAAAGAACCTTGGTGTTTGGTTTGATAGTAATTTAAATTTCGAGCAGCACACCACAGAGCTTGTTCAATCATGTTTTTATCAACTTAGAAATATAGCTAAAATTTGATCTATGTTAACTTTTAAGGACACCGAGACCATTTTACACGCCTTCATCTCATCACGCCTGGATTATTGCAACAGCCTTTTCACCTGTTTAACCCAAAAATCTACTGATCGACTCCAGACTGTCCAGAACTCAGCTGCCAGGCTTTTAACCAGAACAAAGAAATATGACCACATTACTCCTATTTTAGCTTCATTACACAGGCTCCCAGTATGTTTTAGAATTGACTTTAAAATTCTATTGATCACTTTTAAAGCTCTTCATGGCCTCTCGCCTTGTTATATTTCTGACCTTTTAGTCCCAAACGCACCAGCACGTACCTTGAGATCCTCTCTCTCTGGAACAGCCTGCCCGAGGAAATCAGGTCGGCTGAGTCAGTGAACTCTTTTAAGTCCCTTCTTAAAACACACTTTTATAGGAGAGCCTTTCCCGATCTTATTTGACTTTATTTTATCCCTTTTATTTTATTCTATTTTACTAATTTTATATTTATCTTAAACATGTATTTTAGTCTTTTGAATGTTTTCTTGCTTTTATCTTGTATTGTTTTTGAAAGTTGTGCTACTCTGCCATCTTGCCAACCGTCCCAAAGCTCTTTTTTGTGCATCAAGGAGCAATCTCTGAGGTGCTGTCTTGGCGGAAGTCTTTTACTGACCGACTCTCCTCTTTATTTGATAGCTGTTATTAAATACAGATGCAGCACCAATGTGTCCCTGAGAAAGACACTTAACCCCTAGTTGCTCTAGAGGCATGCCACCTCGGACATAAAAAGCAATTGTAAATTGCTTTGGGAAAAAAATGAATGATGTAAATGTAGAAATTATTCTGTGCCTCTGAGCAGTACATACAGACTGTGCGTGTGTTTGTTAAGACACCACAGAGAGTAGACCTGAGTAGGACGTTGCTTCAAGTGACGCTTTGGAGGAAAGAATGCCTCATGTCTCTAATAACAAATTTCCTCATTCCGCCTCTTCTCACATGATTGCGTAAGTCCATGCATCCCTGGTGGGCAGGACTAAGACACAAGGAAAAGACGCAAGTGAGGGAAACGTGGATGCAAGAAAGATAATTGAGAAGCACCCATTGACCGCTGCATGTAAAAGGAAGTCTTGGCCTGGATATAAGCTAGCCACACCAGGAGCCAGAACATTGTCTGTTGCTCCCAGAGGCTAAATCCTCATCAGTCGATGAACGATGGGTTCAGAGATTGCCCTCATGCAAACAAGTTGTGTCCATTAATGAATCATGCCGTCCAGAGATAAAGACATTTCTTATTTCCATGTGTCTTTGTCTCCCTTTGGAGTTTATAGAGTTTAAGCTTTTGGTCTGAGACACAGGGACAGACCTCATGTTTGGGCTGGTTTGTCGCTGCCATGTAAAAAGATGGTTTTGCTGTAAAGGAAAACTCCTGTTGATATTGCAGGTGTTTTTCGGTTTAGAGATGTTAATCCATTATATTCTGTTGATCTCCACACCAACAGATGCAAAGAACATGGACTACATGTGCAGTGCACATGTGAAGTATTAATTCATAATTAAAGGGAACAATTTATGTAATTAGGACTTGAGATCTTGAAAAAAGCATAGCACTGTTTTGTTTCTCTTCTGATTACCTCAGATCAGGCGTAAGCACAAGCTCTCTGACTGTGTCTCTGGGTCTCCAGAGTCTACAGGGATCAAACCCCAATCAAGTGTCTCGGACAGTATCACAGATCATCATTCATCCCAACTTTAACTCTGGAACTTTTGAAAACGACATCTGCCTCCTGAAGCTCTCCTCACCCGTGACTTTCACCACCTACATTCAGCCCGTCTGTCTGGCAGCCACAGGCAGCACCTTCTACAAGGGGACTGTCTCCTGGTCCACCGGCTGGGGCAATGTTGGAACTGGAGGTGAGACTCTCTCAAACACACACAGAGGCAGGGAGATACAGATGTGATACAGATCAGTGGCCTGTACTACGAGGCAAGCTAAGGTGGACAGGTTTTAAAAAGAGGTTCTCTCATAGTTTTATGATGGATGTCAGATGATATTCAGGTTTTTCTTGTAGATTTGTGATTATTTCTCCCCCGTAAATTCAACACTTTATCCTCAGAAAATATTCTTTTGGAAATTTTTCTCCGATTGCTACCCCTCTCCCCTGGCTCCATTTTATTGTTTAACGGACCTAATATGCAGTTGCACCTTTACATCTTAAATCCTATTATGAAACCTGACTTTTCCTGAGTTAAATCTGAGTAGGTTGAACTCTACGAAGGGTAGCACAGGCCTCAGTGTTCACAAAGTTACTCCTTTAGCTACCCGGAAAAGCCAGTTATCTTGCTTTATTGTACAGGCCACTGGTAGAGAAATTTAAAAAAGATGGGAAAACGGAAAGTAGACGTCAAAATCGTGACATGAATGTAGGTATTAAGAATTGTTCACATCCTTGTGTTGTTAGACTGCACACAGTATAACACCAGTATGCTTTATTAAAATACAATATCTTTGTTTCATTGACTTAGAAAGATGAAAACAAATCTCAGGGAAAAAAGGATGAAGTGAATATCCTTTTCATAAATCTTAGATCTCTAGAGTTATCTTTGATCAGGACATGTCGTTTAAGTCTCACATTAAATAAATTTCAAGGACCGCCTTTTTTCACCTACGTAATATTGCAAAAATCAGGAACATCCTGTCTAAAAATGATGCAGAAAAACTAGTCCATGCATTTTGTTACTTGTAGGCTGGATTACTGCAATTTCTTATTATCAGGCTGCTCGAAAAAGTCCATTAAGACTCTTCAGCTGATCCAGAATGCTGCAGCACGTGTTCTGACAGGAACCAGGAAAAGAGATCACATTTCTCCTGTTTTAGCTTCTCTGCATTGGCTTCCAGTGAAATCCAGAATAGAATTTAAAATCATTCTTCTTACCTACAAAGCTCTTAATGGTCAGGCACCATCTTTTCTTAAAGAGCTCATAGTACCTTACTACCCCACCAGAGCACTGCGCTCCCAGAATGCAGGGTTACTTGTGGTTCCCAGAGTCTCCAAAAGTAGACTAGGAGCCAGAGCGTTCAGCTATCAAGCTCCTCTCCTGTGGAACCAGGTTCCAGTTTGGGTTCAGGAGGCAGACACCATCTCCACATTTAAGAGTAGGCTTAAGACTTTCCTCTTTGATAAAGCTTATAGTTAGGGCTGGCTCAGGTTAGTCCTGAACATCCCTTAGTTATGTTACTGCTCGAGTGCCACTGGTATAAGTATTAATAATCCTATTATTTTATTATCATTAATATAAGTAAAATGATCAATAACATTATTCATTTCTTGTCTGCACCACAACCACTTTTACTGTATATGTTTTTCTACAGCATGTGGTAATTGTGTTGCATCACCCTCTCACCCTCTCTCACTCTCTTTCGCTTTCCAACGCTCTCTCTCTCTCTCTCTCTCTCTCTCTCTCTCTCTCAACCCCAACTGGTCGAGAACATGAGTTGATCGAGGTCTCTATACCTCCTAAAAGAGAGTCTTTTCTTGCCTCAAGTGTTAATAATAATATAAAGAGTACAGTCTTGACCTGCTCTATATGAAAAGTGAAATGAGATAACTTTTGTTATGAATTGGTTATTTTCGTTATATAAAATGAATTTGAAGTACTGGAAGTGTTTTGCAGTTTGGTGGGGGACCTGTCCTTTGGTTTAACAATAGAGTTACTCATTGTCCCTTTAATGGGCTAAGATATTGAAAAACGGCTGACATGGTCCTTTAAGTTCAAGTAGTGAGAATGTCTGTTTGATCCACAGAGGAACACCTGGAAACACTTGAGGTGTGCCACAGATCACTGATGTGTTTATTAAACTGCCCATTTTAAAAGATGTGAACACTTGTTTATTAAACTGAATTTGTGTCTCTTCAGTGTCCCTTCCTTTCCCACAAAACCTAATGGAGGTGCAGCTGCCGATTGTAGGAAACAGAGAGTGTACCTGTAACTACGGAGTGAGCTTGATCACAAACAACAAGATGTGCACTGGGTTCATTGCTGGAGGAAAGGACGTCTGTCAGGTGATCAATTTTTACACCTGTGTTTGTGTCAGATTTGACCTTCTGCAAAGATTCTTTCTCCTAAATGTTTCTCTCCTTTAAGGGGGATGGAGGAGGTCCGCTGGTGAGCAAGCAAGGCGGTCGCTGGATCCAGTCGGGAATCACTAGTTTTACCAGTAGTAAGGGCTGTGCCCAGCCTAATATCCCATCAGGCTACACCCGGGTGTCCCAGTATCAGTCCTGGATCAACAGCCAGATCACCAGCAACCAGCCAGGCTTCATCACCTTTACCTCCGCTGGGACCGACGGTGACCTCAGCATAAGCTGTCCTGCCACCCCACCCCCAGCAGCTCAAGGTAAGTGCCTACCACGTCCAGACTTTGATTTTTAACTTTACATTTCGCCTTGGAAAGCTTAATATTAAATATTTTCTTCCTCTTCTAACAAACAGTTTCATATTCTGTTTCAGAATGTATTTGAATGCGTTCATGGCAGCATCATGGTTGTTTATAAAACGGCAATGTTATAGAATTGTGATCACAGGAGTACAACTCTTCATAAAGAGTAAACCTGACTTCATGTGTAAAATCAGTGGAGGGCCCCTTTAACTTCTGCTACTGTCTTGTTTTTGTGACATGAAGGCGTCACCAGGGACTGGAGCAATAACAGTAGTATTAATAAAACTCATTAGTATTGGTAGTAAATAGATTAACAGCACCAACAGACAGTCATTTCAGCCTGTCCTCACCAGAAAAATGTTCATGCAGCTTATTACAATCAATATTTACATTTATGTTAGCCTGTGACCTCTAGTGGTCATAAGATGTAAAAAAAGAGGTGAATTCTAGGGGAATTGTGAAAATAACTGCAAACTCGTTTTCTGTTAGTGGAAATGATTTACCAGTCTGTTCACTGAGAGAGGACAGGGTTTAAAGTTACTTATCAAAAATCTTTGTGTTTGAATGACTTTAGTAATAAAAATATTCACAAAATGTCGATCCATCCATCCATCCATCGTCAACCGCTTATCCTGCGTACAGGGTCGCGGGGGGGCTGGAGCCCAGCTGACATTGGGCGAAAGGCGGGGTTCACCCTGGACAGGTCGCCAGTCAATCGCATCATTCACAAAATGTATCCCATATTAATATAGCATGACACATATTGAATTTACACATGAATTGCTGTTTTAAGTAAGTGAGTCTCCCTCACAACTAGCTGCTAAGTCAAAGTTTCACTGCTAACGTGTTACTTCTTGTCCATCTGTCATTTTGAAGATTTAAACATGTTGTTGATTAAAATAGTTTCATTATTGTTAGTATTCACTCTGTGTCTTTATTGTCTCTCTCCTCAGTGTGTGGTCAGCCAACACTCAACACCAAGATTGTTGGAGGACAGGTGGCCTCTGCAGGCAGCTGGCCCTGGCAGGCCAGTCTGCAAACCTCTACAGGGTTCCACTTCTGTGGAGGAACCCTCATTAACAACGACTGGGTGCTGACTGCTGCTCACTGCTGTGCAAGGTAAGCACTGAGGGTAGGGGCGTGACAAAAAACAACATGCCATGCAGTCCTGTAAACAGCCTGTCTAGTGGTTCCCACCCTGGGAACCTTTCCAACTATCTTTGAATGATCCTATCATTCATCATCAAAATCTATGTTGTTTCAGTTTGTGATGACGGGTAGTAAGCAGACAATGCTTCACTTTTTTGTCCCCAGCCTACAAGGTTGAGAAGAACTGTTCTAAGAGGCAGGGGAGAAAGATTCACTTAAGCAAGAGTATTGGCTGCATTTTAGGGTTCATTTTTGCCCTATCTAGCTCTAGAGCTAACCAGAAGTGGTATGACGGGCAGAGCAAAATTCTGGTTAAACCAGCTTAAATATTTAATATATTAAATATCTAGGCGTACATATTTCCTCAAGGCAGTCAGAACTGAGAGGGATAAACTACGAGCCTCTACTTAAATCAATAGAGGATGACCTTGTGCAGAGAGACAACACTGCCCGGATCGCTCATGGCAAGTGTCACCACCATAAAAATGATGGTCCTGCCTAAAATCAACCTGTTTTTAATGTTACCCAACCCACCCTCTGCTGTCTAGTTGAAGTCACTGGACTTAGTTTAAAAACTCTTTTCATGTCTTTGCATTGTTTTGTGTTACTTCTGATTGCAGCACAGTCATAACTACGAGCACTCTAGTTGTGTCTCTGGGTCTCCAGAGTCTACAGGGATCAAACCCCAATAAAGCGTCTCGGACAGTATCACAGATCATCATTCATCCCAACTATAACGCCACAATTCTGGAAAACGACATCTGCCTCCTGAAGCTCTCCTCACCGGTGGCTTTCACCACCTACATCCAGCCCGTCTGTCTGGCAGCTCCAGGCAGCACCTTCTACAAGGGGACTCTCTCCTGGGCCACCGGCTGGGGTAGAATTGGAACTGGAGGTGGGTCAGAAAGCACCTGGATTACATTTATTTTCAGAGACAGTATAACTATAATGGTGACAACAACTGTGTTTTCAGAATTTCCCATGTAAAAATGTAGTTCCTCATTTACCCAGGGGAGCAACCAAACCTTCCTGTAACTAACTGGCTGTAGAGATCCTTTCATCATAATCTGTCTGTGACATTAACAAACACACAGTTTTGTGAATAAGTTTATTCAAGGGGAAGATCGGGCGGCTGCGGCTCAGGAGGTAGAGCGGGTTGGTCGTTAATCGGAAGGTTGGCGGTTCAATCCCTGGCTCCCCCTGGTTGCGTGTCGAAGTGTCCTTGGGCAAGATACTGAACCCCAAATTGCCTCTGGTGGCTGTTCCGCCAGTGTATGAATGTGTGTGAATGTTAGTTTCCGTTGGAGCACTTAGGCTCAGTGTATGACTGGTGAATGCAGATGTAGTGTAAAGGCGCTTTGAGTGGTCGAAAAGACTAGAAAGGCGCTATACAAGTACGGAGCATTTACATTTTTACATTAAAATTTTTTATAAGCGGTGAGTGGAGTAGGGCCAACATGGAGGACAGCTCTCCATGTGTCAACAGGCAGGTAGGACGGGGTACGAGCACATTCACTGACAGCAACACTCAGCACAGAGTGAGTCATGGAGAAGTGGGAGACGTCGCGCAGATAGAACCAAATAAAAGAACAAGGGGAAGACAAAGAAGTGCAAATGTCTTCCACTGTGCAGCGCCAGAGAGTTTGAGATTCCTCTGGTTGAGTGCGTTCTGATAACCTCCAGAGCTTCCATCTCAGAAGACAGATAAGCCTAAAGCTTCACACAGCCAGCGAGACAAGAGCTAAGCAGACAGGTGAACCCACAAAGATTGTTCCCTGTAATGAACAAACAGGCGCTGGGAACGGTGGAAAACGGCCGTGCACGTAACGTAACAAGACAGAGAAAGAAACTGGACAGAGAAGATTAGAAAAAAAAACATACATCAGTATTGGTGTGTAGATGTCTGCGAGGTGGGAGAGGGGCCGCGTTCCGACACTGCCACGTGACCAGCTGACATCTTTCCCAACAGCTGCATGACAAACAAGGCTGTCAAGACAGCATGCGGCGTAACATGCCAGAGCAGAGCTGTCAGAGTGCTCTCTAGGTGCATCTCAGGTCGTTTCCTCGCTTGAACCGGAAGTTGTTCTGCTCCTCCATCTCACAGACCGCCCCAAAGCTCTTATTTGTGCTCTGTGGAGCAGGGATCGATCTGTAAGGAGCCATTAATGAGGATTCATACAGCCTTTCGTGGAAGTCTTTATTAACTTTGGAAATCCATCATGGATTTGACGCTGCAGCTGATGGGACTGATCTGATACATCACCACACTGCAGTTTCATAGCAGAGTAAAGACACACATTGATAACAGATTAAACGCAAGTGTATGACTGCTAACTTTTCTATTTGATTTGTTTTATGATTCCCCGTCTAGTTAAAATCTGTGTTTATTGTAGGTCTGAACAACAAAAGGACCACAAACAACTTTCTTTATTAATCAGAAAGATTTCTCTTTTCTGTTATTTCCCCCATTAACTTCTATTATGCAGACAATTAAAGTCAGAGAGAGTCAGTCAGCAAAAAACACTATTTACATCCTTTATCATCATTTCCATTCAGTCACATGTAAGACTGACCATTCCTGAGCGTTTAGTCCAAATAGACAACAAAACAAGTAAGGAGTCAGAGTAAACAAGTCAATAAACTGCACTAAAGCTTGTTCAGCACTGCGTGTGTGTGTGAGGGATAAACCCACCAGCGATGGCCTTAGACGACGAAGCCTGTGTGGTATATTAAACTGTCCATTCTGTGTGAAACCATTTGAAACCACATTTCACCACTTGTGTTGTTTACTAAACTGAATTTGTGTCTCTTCAGTGTCCCTTCCATCCCCGGGTAACCTCATGGAGGTGCAGCTGCCGATTGTGGGTAACAGAGAGTGTAGCTGTACCTTTGGACCGAGCATCATCACAAGCAACAAGATGTGCTCCGGGTTCAGTGCTGGAGGGATGGACACCTGTCAGGTGATCATTTTTACACTACCACATTTCACATTTTGCAAAGATTCCTTCTCTAAGATGTTTCTTTTCTTTAAGGGGGATTCAGGAGGTCCGCTGATCAACAAACAGGGCGGTCGCTGGATCCAGGGGGGAATCGTGAGTTTTACCAGTAGTAGAGGCTGTGCCGTGCCGAATATCCCATCAGGCTACACCCGAGTGTCCCAGTATCAGTCCTGGATCAACAGCCAGATCACCAGCAACCAACCAGGCTACTACACCTACACGTCCACTGGGATGACGGTGACCTCACGTTACCTGTACACCACCAAAAAACACACCCTAACGTAAGTGCCAGCCCTGTCCAGACTTTGAGTTTAGCTATTTGGAAACCCCTTGGAAAGCTTTAAAATGTTTTTCTTTATATGACCAAAATGCAGGACCACGGCCATGAATTCAAGTTCACTGGTGAGTTCTGTGTGACAAAGTATTAGTCACATTGTATCTAACTACGTCAATCAGGACTTTATATATCTCGCTCTGTGTGTCTTTCTCACACACACACACACACACTTTACTTGCAACCACACATCTAAAAACCACAGCCTGAAGTCTAACCTCCAATTTGGTGACGACAGGTAGAGTGTATCCCTATTTTGTTTCTAACCCCTTTGGCTTAAGCTTTGTTGGTCTACACACACACACACACACACACACACACACACACACACACACACACACACACACAGCCACATTAACACGATGCTGATTGTTGTATGCTTTTGTTTTTCATAGATTAAATGATAGTAGTTTATTAGCTGAAGTCATCATTGATCTGTTCTAATACTCTTTATTCATAATTGTTACAAATTAATAACTTTATTAATATCAGTCGGTCCTGTTAGGTAGCATAAGCGGTTGTGAATCAATGTCACTTGTTTTAGTGCAAGTTAAAGTAAAAACAGGTGCAGAGGAGAGGCAACAGCCAGACAACCCTAGAAGGATATATGGTTTTGCAGGTGGAGGCCACTGACAGTAGCTCTCTCCTTATCCTTCCTGACTTATTGCTCTCCAGTTTTGTGTTTTGCTAGTGTCCTTGTCACTACTGGTAGTATGAGGCGATACCTGCAGCCCGTTCAGCTCAATTGGCATTCGCTAGCGAACACTAGAATTCACAGGCCTGCCATTGGTTCCCTGTTCTCTTCACAGATGACGGCAGGTTCACACTGAGCACATGTGACAGACATGAAAAGCGAGGCGGTTTGTCAGGTTAACGATTGACATTAAATAATTAATTTGTTAATGGTAAAAGGTTGCTAAAACGGACGGATTTAGTCGGAGTACTGGCTATTTAATACTGACAACATATTGCTGCTGTTTTATGTATATTTGAGATCTTTATTGTAACGGCATACACTCACTTTACTTTGGTGTGTCTCTGCACCTCCTTGGTTTGAACATGGTTTAAATTGGTTGTTGCACCGGAGCTTTAAAGAATGATGATAGAGAATAATGAAGAACAGAATCTGTGTATTATACTTTTTGTCAACTGAAGAAAACCATGTAACCTTCAATGTCTGAGAACAGTGTTTTTACATCTCCCACAAGAGAGCTACAGCGCCGCATTGTATTGCACCAGTTTTTGACTGACTCCAGTGAGCTTTTTAGGACTCAGAGTTGCTGACTATTTTAGCAAAGATTTTTAAAGTTGGGTTCTCAACTAACCTAGACCTGAGCTTTTTTCTTAATCAACTCTTCTAAACTCTCACTACTGTTTCATTAGATCATTTTCCATTATTCAATAAATGCCTCATGGAACTACAGTGACTGCTGATCAGGAAAAGTTGCATAGTCTCACTTTAAAATGAGCACATTTCAAGGCCTTTCTGGAAATTTGCTTATTCACTTTTACTCATTCACAGGAGAGCTTGATGAGAAGGCAAAATTGTATATTGATCTTATAGCGCATTTGGAGAAACAACGAAAAAAAAAAGAAAACACAACATTTTCGCTTCACAGAAAGTTGGACTTGAACACATCTGTCCTGTTTGTTTGTTCAGGGTGATCTGGCGGTGAGCAGAGCGGCTCTTGGTTCCAGGCAGCGGTGTTGTTAGTTGGAAACAACACCACCTTCCTGGCTCAGACACCAACACCACCAACACCACCAACACCACCAGCACCAGCACAGCTGACGGCAACATACCAACTACCAGCGGGGGCGCTCCTGCTCTCCCCCCTTCTTCAAATTGCTCATCTTTGGATGGAAACTGCTTTCTCTCTAAAATGAAGGGTGTAATTTATGGGCGTAAAATCGATAAATTAATGAAAATGAATTGTTTAAGCAGCACCGAACAAATGTAGGTATATGTAGCCTGGCGTACCAACGTGTCAAGGTTTTTGAAGGATCCAGTTGTTACACAAAGACAAGATGATGATTTGTCATTTACCTAAAACTTCCCCTTCAAATAACTGAAAACAGGATGGTGTGTATTGATTACATTGCAGGTATATTAAACTCTTGCTGTCATGGAATTTCCTACAGTCGTTGACAAATGGATTTAAAAACTTAAGGAGCATATTTTAGAGGTCAGAGGAACACATGTCATCATCTACCTATCTGAGCTAGTGTACCTTAATGTACAATTATATCTAAAGTGAACAAGCAGCTTTTGCTCTAAAAAATACTTAAACTGAACTTTACATTGATAATAATTTAGTTTGAAAGATAAATGTCAATATTAAGTCTTGTCAAGTTTTGCCGTGGCAACAACTGTCCTGTAGATGTGAAAGTGCTGAACTATTAACCCCTTTGATTTTTTTTATCACAGTAACCTGGTTTTTAATTAAGGGAAATCCTTTCTTTCGGCTTTGAGCACATGTATGAACTCATGCAGTCTAATCTAAATGTCCTGCAGTAAATCCTCATTCATGATGGTTATAATCTGTTTCTGTTGAAACTGTTTTAGAGATGTGCTGATTCAACTGTATGGTCATTCTGGAGGCTGAGGTTGTGTTTCTTAGCCACATGCATGTATCAAAATAAAACAAATTGAACATTTTTTGCAACATTTGCTGAAGCTAATATTTTCTATAAAATATCTTGAATATTGTTCTTGTTCAAACAAAAGTCACTAACTACAACATCTTTAATCTGTTGAATCTGTAGCTACGAGTCTCAAATGCTGTGTTGTTACTCATAGATGACTCAAAAAGTTCTGCACATGCTCACTTTTGCTCCACATTACTCAGTGAAATGTGGAGCGCCAAAAAGGTTCAACTGCAGACGCTTAGACCTCATTTCTCCTCCTCAGACCGGTTTCCTCAGGCCCCTCAGACTTGTTGTATGTACAGAAATGCATTTGAATGGTGAGTAGTGCAGTAGTGCATGCTTTATTTATGGATGATGTGTGACCTCTAGTGGGTGTAAGACGTAACAAAGGAGGAAATCAACTGACATTTTCCTGGTCATAATGATTTTTAGGGGGAATATTAAACTTTTCTGTAACTAAATGATTCGCAGTCTGTTAGCTGAGAGAGGAAAGGGTTAAAGGTGTGTCACTCATAAATGTTTGTGTTTTTACCAGTTTAGTAATAAATGTTGGGGATGATCTCAAATTTCAACCCATGTAAATAGCACATGTCAAACTAGCATGGGGCATATCCAGAGATGGAAAGAGTCCTAAAATATTGTACTTAAGTAAAACTACTGTTACACTGATGAATTTTTACTTAAGTACAAGTAAAGTTACTCTTATAATAATCTGTTCAAGTAAAAGTAAAAAGTACCTCCCTTAAAATGTACTCAGAGTAAAAGTTTCTTAGTTACTTAATAAACCTCCTAAAATAACTTATTTATACTGATTTAATATTTACAGGCCTTGTTATTATACTTAATTAAATCGCAGTCTTTTGCGATTTGAAGAAGGCACAAAGCCAGATATTAGTTCGTTTGACAGATCCTTTGCTAAAGCAATGGCGCAAAACAATGTTAGAGAACTTTTTTATGCTATTATGAGAAGTTTTGTGAATGTTTTTATAAAGTCATCTCCCTATTTAAGCTTCAAACAGGTGGTAATTTTAATGTGACTTCATAGGCGTTAGCATAATACATTTTTTTATTAACATAGGCCTAAGCATAATTAACTAGTTACCAGCTGGTTGCCAATGCCAACCAACATTAGCAATGTCATGCACCCCATGTCTTTTTGGCTAATTTGAGCAAAGCGTCTTACCAAACTATAAAAACTTTTTTTTACAAACTACCCGTGGTACAAGTAGGGTGCAAACTACGGGGGAGCTTGGTTCCTCTTAGTAACCCATGTAAAATACTATAATACTACTATAATATCCTTTGTGGGGATCATCAATGGTAATAAATGATTTTTGAACGATTACAGTCATTAATATTTTATTACACTTAGAAGTCCGATTCGTTAAGATTCAGCTAAAAGATGTGGTGCATTCGATCACTGAGCACAGCAAAGTGTCTGAAAAGGACCTTAAGAGGTGGATGCATAATTGCAAATGCAAACAGATGTTGCAGGCTACCTGCCGAGATTTGCATCCACCTCTTTTCTCAGCATTAACGAGGTGCTTACAGTTCTCGGCAGGCAGGCAGAATTCTGGCCGTGACAGTGTTGGAGTTCTGGGCGAGATTTTAAATTTTGAGCATTACATCAATTTATGGTTCATCTCTATCTATAAAGCGAAACACAATTTTGAGGCGGTATGTGACAATTCAAAATATTAAAATTTAATAGAATTCAGGCATACTGTATGCTATTGTTTTTAAATACATTTTTCCCTGTAGATCAACTTTTCTAATTTAATAAGATCCCTGCTAAGTCAGTACACATGCTTTGCCTTGCCTTCTCTTTTGAGTCTCCATTTGGGGAAAAATACTCATTCATATTCATTTATAAACTCCTGGACTTTAATAGCTCATTTGTTTAAGCAGATTTTCTGCTCAGGTTCAAAACTTTCTGCACATTCAGAATATGTACCACAGTGTTCTCTGACAAAATTGCAATATCACAAGACTAATGTCATAGTTTAATGAGAGTTCATAATATTTTTAATTCTAGCTGGCCTCTACTCTGCTGTGCATTACGTTATTGATCGCTGGTATATAGCCTATCACTTTAGACCGTTAGACCAACACAGTTTGGGACAGCATGCTGCATGTAAAACCGAAACCAACCACAAACACTACTGATCAGGCAGAAATCTCACCTCAAATCCACAACTTAACTTCAGCAGCTCCAATAAAGTGCAGCTCACAGTCCACATGAGCAAGGCTGCACTTCAGTTTTAAGATGTTTATATTGCAAATCTGTAGTCGACCATTTACGTTACGTTACATTTTGCGCCCTTTGAGTTGGCCCTTTAAGATATGAAGCGATTTGCGCTGCGCCATCCTGTCTCTCTCCCCTTGTTCACTCACCCTCGTCCTCTGTCAAGTGGCTGGCTCCCTCACCTGCCCTCTCCCCTCGGACTTCCCCCACGGCGACCTCCCAGTTCTCTCCTGTCTCCTCTCTTCCCGGTCCCCAGTGCCCCCCGGCCCTCTGGTCTCAGTCTCCTCGGTTCCCCGTGCCTGCGTCTCCCGGCTTCCACCTCTCCCTCAACTCCAGTCCCTCAACCCTTCTTTCCCTAAATAAACCTGTTAATCCCCAGAGTTGCGTTTGGGTCCAGTCTGTCCCCACACCACACCTTAACAAATGCGAGTAAAGGTAATTCAGTACTTTTCCACCCTGGGCATATCCATCCATCATCAACCGCTTATCCTGCTTACAGGGTCGCGGGGGGCTAGAGCCAATTCCAGCTGACATTGGGCAAAAGGTGGAGAACACCCTGGACAGGTTGCCAATCCATCGCAGGGCCACACATAGACACACACTTGGACAGACAACCACTCACACTCACACTTAAGGACAATTTCAGAGTTTCAGAATTATCAGTCTCACTCACAACTAGATTAGTCATTTATTTTACTTCCTGTCCATCTGTCATTGGGAAATTTTAAACGTTTTGTTTATAGTTTCATTATTATAGGTAAATGCATTTGCTGTCAACCACCTATTGCTCACTCTGTCCTTATCATCTCCCTCCTCAGTGTGTGGTCAGCCTTCGTTCAACACCAAGATTGTTGAAGGACAAATGGCCTCTGCAGGCAGCTGGCCCTGGCAGGCCAGTCGTCAAACCTCTGTGTTCCACTTCTGTGGAGGATCCATCATTAACAAACAATGCTCACTGCTCTACAGGTCAGCATTGAGAGTAGGGCAGCAATGGTTTCTACACGTTAACAAATAGATAAATAATGAAGTCATGTCAAACAAAGACACAGATACCTACAAGACTAAATGTCTTTTCGCTTCCAGTGTTTGCAGTAAACTCTCGCCCGTTGATCGTTGAAAGGCCGAAGTTGTAACGTATCCCTCGTTTAAAAATGGCAGATATGTTTATCTCGAGATCTGGCAACTCTGATGATGTCTACTAACTTTCCGGGGTGGCGAAGGCGCAATGAATAAGACTATGTCTTTGGTGTGAGAGACCTGGGTTCAATCCCCCACTGTGACCCATCCACCATTGTGTCCCTGAGCAAGATACTTAACCCCTAGTTGCTCCAGAGGCGTGCGACCTCTGACATGGATAGCAATTGTAAGTCGCTAAATAATAAATGTAAACTTTCAAGTCTTGTGTTGCCAGTAGTCATGTCTCAGTAGGGCTACACCTGCCATCTAGCAGTTGAAAATAGTATTTGCATTTTGTTTTAAATTAAAATGAAAGTTAATGTGGTGAACGTTTACAGCTAAAATAAAGATAATTAAAATGTTTCAAACATTTACTTGCATTTGATAATATGATGTAATGCAACTCAACAATGCATGGGTGAAAACTACATGTAACCAATTTGGCCTGAAACAGGGCTATAGCCAAGCCGTTAATATTAGACCACTGATTGCCTCTATTTTGCCGGGTGGGCTAAAAGCAGACTACACATAGCCTGCCCAAATAAGAGCTAAATCGTGGCTACGCACAGGCTGCGCGTAAAACATTAAAGAAATGAAACAAAAAAACAAAGGTAGTAGCTGAGTCCAGGGAATCCAAAACAAACAGTCCAAACAAAAAGTAATCCAACAGAAAATCCAGAGAAACGAGAAATCCAAAACTGCAGGAACAACAGGGTACAATGAGGAAAAACCACAACAGAAGACAGAGCATCTGAACACAACAGAGAGGGGGGTAATACGAACAATGACCGGACGAAGACTGAAGAGAAACACCAAACATCTACAGTATACACCAGGGATTAACGAGCAGGGCGGGAGTAACACAGGTGACAGACATGAGACTAACGAGACACAGGCAGGCAGAGAGAGAGCAGGGGAAAACAGAGAGACTGACATGCAGAGGGATACTGGGGTAACAGACATAACACAGGTTACTGAACACTAAACACAGGCCATATCACAAGTAGTAACAGATCAGAAATAAATAAACTAACTCAGACACGAGCAGACTAAACTAAAATAATGCAGACAAGGAACCTGCAGTAAATACCAAAACATGAACCAAGGCACAGAACTGGGTACAAAGACAAAGAACTAAAATGCAGGAACAAGAGCTAAGATAAGAGACAAGACATAAACTACTAAGGACAAGGAACGAGAGAAACAGGCAAATAGAAGGACACATGAAAACATGCAAAAACTCAAATGGAAAAAATACAACTCATAACAGTAATCACTTTAGACCTTGCTTAAATGATGGAATATCATACACCTTGCAGTTATTTTGGCAAAACGTCACGTAACCACATGTAAAGTTAATGTGGCTAGATGTGGGTTCTTCACAGCTGGACTAAATCAGGTCTATAGTAAACCTAGACGGTGAAATGCTAATTGCTTGCTGGGCTTCCTCTGTCCACTCTGTCGTTGATTGTTCCCTCTGGCTGGATGAATCCTGATGCTCCTGTTTTCGTGCATAATCCAGTTTTGCATGCCTGCCGAGAATTGCATGCACCTCCAAATACTGCTTTCCATCCATCCATCCATCCATCGTCAACTGCTTATCCTGCGTACGTGATAAATGATTCGAAGCATATATTATTTTGAACGATTACAGTTGTTAATATTTTATTACACTAATTTATGGTTCATCTCTATCTATATAAAGCGAAACACAAAGTGGTATGTGACAATTCAAAACATTAAATTTTAATAGAATTCAGGCATTCTGTATGCTATTGCAATTCCAGCTGACATTGGGCGAAAGGCAGAGTACCCTGGACAGGTCTCCAGTCCATCGCAGGGCCACACATATACAAACAACCACGCACACTCACACCTAAGGACAATTTAGGGTCATCAATCGACCTAGTCCGCATGTCTTTTGGATGGTGGGAGGAAGCTGGAGCACCCAGAGAGAACCTGCAAACTCCACACAGAAAGGCCAGGGCAACCGGGTTCGAATATACAACCTTCTTGCTGTGAGGCGACAGCGTTAACCACTGCACCACCGCACCATCTCGGCATCATGAATATAA